ATGACCGATAGCACCGCTTATCACTTCAGCAATATTTGAAATGCATGGCCAGACCCCCGGTGCCCGGCCCTCAGTAGGTGGATGCGGCTCCTCTAAAGGGCGATGCGCTCGTTATAGAGCGTTTCATCTTGAGGGGTCAGGACGCGGCTATGTCAGATACGCTTTTTAGCCCGCTCTTTTGCTTAAAAGCTACATAAGTGCGCTTTTGCCATCGTACCTGTGTCTGTCTGCCTGTCCGTCTGCCCGTTCCTCAAGAAGGACGGGAGCTAGAGGAATTTTTCAGGGTGAGATTGATGCCACTTCTGGACAACAAAACGGTTGGTGCAAATCCTGGCAACCACCCCTGAGTGGGTCTGAGGGTCTAACAAAGAAATAGGGGTTGGTCCAAGAAGTGGGGAAAAAAATTTTTTGCCTTGTTTCCTAAGGGGTAACTCGTAAAAGTAGAACCCTTTCGACTGAAATTTCGTCCGTTTGGACTTTATCTCTCGTGGTTGAGACGCTAGAGGTAGTTTCTCTCACAAAAAGTGGCCCAAAAATAAAAATGTTATTTTTAGAAAATACTTGATGGTCTCTTAAAGGGTAAATCGCGAAAACAGAGCCCTCTCGGCTAAAATGTCGTCTGTTTGGCTTTATCTCTCACCATTGAGACGCTAAAGAGAGTTTCTCTCACAAAAGTAGCCCAATAATAAATATATTGTTTTTACAAAGTATTTGATGGTCTGCGAAAGGGGTAAATCGTGAAAGAAAAACCCTTTGGGCTTAAATGTCGTCTGTTTGGCTCTCACCGTTTATACACAAAAAGGAGTTTTTCTTACCAAAATGGCCAAAAACAGAAATATTTTCATTTTTTCCTTTGTCTGAGAAGTATGACGTCGGTTCAAAATTTTCTTCTAAGCAGAAGAGTGGGCTTATTTAATGGTGGCACATCATTAATAAAATGTGTACACTCCCATGCAAAAAAAAATTAAAAATACTTATTTGGTTTTTTTGTTGTACTTCACAAGCTCCTTCCCTTCTATGAGTAATTATAGTGAGATCATTACGGACACGTTCGGAGTCATTTCAAAATATGCCTGGAGGTATATTTAACTTCTTCTGGGTCTAGTCTGATAACACTAACACTTTTTCTTTGATACCTTCTTTAATCCCTTTAGGGGAGATACCCAGGATTTGCACAGGGCGTTTCGTTGTCCAGGAGTGACCCCTGAGATACCCTGAAATTTGTAGACCTCTAGCTTATCTCCTTCCTACTACACGGACGATAGACGGACGGACACGAGACCGGTTGCATAAGCCCGCTTTAATGCTAGAAAAGGCAGCAAAAAATCTGTAACGAGGTGAAAGCACAGCATTCTCGCAAATGATAAGACGTGAAGGTTCTTTTATTAACACCCTGTCGTAGGAGAGCAGTCTCGTATCGCGGCCAATCTCGTTTTTCACTACAAGAAAGTACAATAAGGGTGAGCGTGCGTCGGTTTTTATGAAGTTATTCAGACACGACCAGTTGAACGTATCGTCATACCATCCCTGAAGCTTTTCTCGCAAGGACATTCTTTGAACATAAGATGGTGATTGCCAACAGGATCCTACTCCTGCACGAAGCTAAATGCAAGTCCATGGCGTCGAATCAACGTGTTTGGCAGCTAGCAGTAGGCCATCTACCGGTTTTAGCTGTTGCGTTACGACATGGACGTGGTTAGCCTGGGTGAGGACGAATTGTTGAGAAATTAGTTAACAGCTGAACTTTCCATCGCTTGCGGACACATGATTTCAAGAGTGGTGGCCTCCTTGTCCCTGAGCAATTCGTACGCAGGGCTTTTAGTCTCAAGGTTATCTTTTACTGAAGTATTTTTTGGACTCGGTCCGGCGGGCGTCCGTTATTAGGCCTAGTTACAAAATCGATATGAGCACTTAAAAAACTATTTTTAAAATTTGACAGGTTTGAGTTTTAGGCTTGGTTCTGATCGGTCTCATTTGAATGCTATTTTTCCAGAACTGGGAATTCCAATGATTGCAAAGAGTAATCCTTGCGCAACACGTTCTCAGCTACGGTTCGAAAATTTGTGACGATATATTTTGGAGTTTTGTCTACAATTTCTAGTGAAAATACTCTGGAATCCTGAATCCCTTGAGTGCATGCCCCCAAAAAAGTTTTTTAGAGTAGAATAATCATATATCCTATTGTTATTATTCTGTGCTGTAAGAAATATCAAGTCATAATTTTGTGTTTTTCTAATACCTTAAAGAGTTAAAAATGATCAAAACTGTGACATCTTACACCAGCCCTTGAATATTGAATTGAAAAGATGGCAAGAACAACATCCCTGCCTGCAATTCTAAACAATATATAGACTTTTGGACGAATAAGCACTGGACGGGGACAAATAGAATTATAGGACGAGATAACCTTGAACCTAAAGGGTACCCCGGGGCTCGGCTAGACCAGAAGGAGAAGAACAAAAATCGTCGGGCGCGGGGAGGAGCGGGGCAGGGTGGGGGCAGTTCCCCGCTCCTCCCGGCGCCCGACTGGCCCGACGATTTTTGTTCTTCTCCTTCCGGTCTAGCCGAGCCCCGGAGTACCCTATTAAGCTGGGTGCGAGTTGGCCGGGACGAGTTGGCCTGAACTAGGGAAGAAAAAAAACGTTTTTTTAAAACCGAAGAAAAAACGAAAAAAAAACACAAAAAAACAACAAGAAGTTCGGAAAAAACGATTTTTTGTATATTACACCTAAATAAAGCACATGAATACTTAAAAGAGCACTCTTATCCAGAACGAAGGTCTTTAATGGCAATTTATCCGTTTGCACAGCCCCGCTGAGCTTGTTCGCTTGCATGAGGTGTGCTTAACGGTCTGCATGATAAAATAAAAAACATCATCTTCAAAAGTAAGAGAGTTACTTAGGGAAAATAGAGATCAAAAAGCATTTATTATTACCGGAGTGAGAAATAAATTTCCTAACACAATCAGCGGTTAAGAGCTGATTATTTGCCCAGATTGTCCAATAACCGCTAACTTAGCTCCTGAGGGATTGGCCCATATAAGTCAGGAATGCTATGTTGCATAGTAACGAAGATAAATAAGGACTCCTGTGAAAAGAAAATATCCCCCCCCCTTCCCCCTATATTCTATTATTACCCACCAAAAGTGGAATTCAGAAATCAAACTGCATGCAGAATAGTATATTCCTGGAGGGCAGAGCAGACAAGTAGACAACTTTCGCTTTCGATTCGTATCGACTGGCGCTGCCTCCCTGTCATTGTCCAAAACTACCTCAGTCCTGGTAGCAGGTGTAGGGCCGGACGGTATTGGTATTGGTAGGTAGTACAAACCACGTAAAATATGCCTTTTCGTGGTATTAGGCCTCACAGCTTTGTAAAGAGTCTCGGGAATAAACAAAAGTAAAGTTTTCATTGTCATGTTTTTTTCCTTCTTATTTTTCCCGGTACCATTCCCTAGCCTGAACTCAAACCAACGACATTTTATTTCACAGCTAAAGGAAAGGTTCGTTATTTCCCATCAGCTCGCTTGCGCTCTAAATGTATTAGCTTCTTTTTGCGCAAATGTTCGCGTGAACTTAAACCTACGTTTTGTTTTTCACGAATTTGTGAGCAAAAATGTACGATTTCGCACACAGGAAAAAGTCCAAATTAACACAGAAATGAGTGCAAAAAATTGATTGCTTGAATCCGTGCGAATAAAATATACAAATACTGTTAGTGTGCATTTGAACAACTTTTGCCTGGCGATTATACGAAAGAATGCACGGAAGGGTCGAAAGAAATAACTAATTTATGCGGCTCATTGTTGGTGTAGCTCGGGGATCTAGTTTTTGTCAAAATTTCGATGTTTGAGCTACATTTTCTTTAAAATGTAGATTGACGACCAATATCAATTTTCCACTTGATTAAAAAAAAATAAAAAATCATGAAAATGGCCTTGAGAAGAAGCCATGCCATAAAACCTCGCATAAGACTAATGGGATAAGGAACAAGCAGCGATAAAGCCAAACGGACGAAATTTTAGTTCAAAGGTTTCTGCTTTGACGAGATACTCCTTGGCAGACCATAAAAAAATAACTTTTAGGACCCTTTTGTGATCTTCGGAAACACCCGTTGACACCATAAGGGGTGGTTAGTAGTAAATATTCCTTCTTGTAACCGCCGCCATTTTTAGCCCGCTCGTTTGCTAAAAAGCTATATAAGCGGGCTTATGCCATCGCCCCTGTGTCCGTCCGTCCGTCCGTCCGTCCGTTTCCCAAGAAGGACGTGAGCTAGAGGTCTGAAATTTTCAGGGGATTATTGTTGTCACTTCCGGACAACGAAACGGTTGGTGCAAATCCTGGCAACCACCCCTGATTGGGTCTGAGGGGGTAACAAAAAAAGGGGTTGGTCAAAGAAGTGGGATTTTTTTAATAGTCTCCTAAGGGGTAACTTGTGAGAGTAGAGCCCTGTGGGCTAAAATATGGTCCGTTTGGCTCGGTTTTGTATCGGCCCCTTTTTTTAAGGGGGCGATAGGATTTACCGCTGAAAATTCTAACGAGCAACGAGCGTGTCAGCATGCCTCCTGGGCGCGCATGGAAATGCTGAAAAAAAAAGTCAGGAGTATGATTCGAACCCACGATCCCATACTGGGAGGCAGACGAGAAGTCTACCGCCTTAACCACTCGGCCTTCCTGACATCTTGCTTGCTTATGTGCACGTTGCAATAGAGTCTTGGTGTTTTCTATCACAATTTGCGGAGTGATGGCCACCTCGCGGGCGGCCCCGGGCGGGTTTAGACGCGTCGCAGGGGCGGAACCGGAGGGCAAACGCGTTCTAACCGGCGCGCGGCGCTGGCGGTCATGGCGACCTTACCCGGGCTGCTACACGTTGTAACCGGTGCGCGATACCAGAGGCGGAATTCGGCCGCCGTAATTTGAGTTATCATTAGCTTCGGACTGGTATCAAAAATGACGTGGGCGCGCAGTCAACCGTGTAAGGCCCGTGGTAAAATGGGTCCTGTGCGCGCCGCGTGCGAGCCGCGTGCGCATTCTGTGCACATCGCGTGCGCGCCGCGTGCGAGCCGCGTGCGAACCGCGTGCACGACGCGTGCGCAGCCTTTCTGTGCGCAATGAACTTGTGCGCAAGTTTGCCACCCCCTGTCCGCGCTGGTGTGGTCGTTGCGCACATGCCGTGCACAACTTCCGTGCGCACAGCGCGGAATCCTCCGCCGACGCCGTTGCTTGTCCTCATGAGGACCACCTCGCCATTTGCCTTCCGGGTGTTCAGGACCTGCTGAACACAGCGCTGAAGTCCGTTTCTCTCTGCGGTCTACGGTTCGCGAGATACGAGGGGGTACCACGAGGCCCCCGTCAAAGACAACAAAATTTGAGTGGGATTTTGGAGGCCAAAGTGATCCTGGCGCCGGCCCCGTTGTATGTTCAGGACTTCTGACCTCGGCATTCGATTGTGCAGGTTGACACCATTCCGGCGACACCTCGCGACCCCCAGGATGACCCCCTTATCACCCGAAATTCTAAGTCAAAGCCCGAGGATGACACTGGATACCGACGGGGGAGATTTCTGGGCGATCCTGGCGACATCCTGGGGGGCACAAGTTCATTGCGCACAGAAAGGCTGCGCACGCGGCGCGCACGCGGTTTGCACGCGGCTCGCACACGTGGCTCGCACACGCGGCTCGCACGCGGCGCGCACGCGGCGCGCACAGGACCCATTTTATCACGGGGGGTAGGCTTTGAATGACTTCGTGCATCCGCGCGCTGCGGCTCACTCTTAAGGGTGAACCACGACTGAGCCGGATTCTATTGGTACTGGGGGGACCGCCCGCGCAAAGACAAGGCCCGAAGATGTTAAAGCGCGCTCTATCGGCAAAGAAGATGCTCCGCCGATAGTGGGTGCTTCAACATTTTCGGGCGCCGTCTTTGCGCGGCCAGTCTCGACAGCGACAGTGGAGATAGAGGCTGGGCATCTTCCGTTACACCTGCAACGTGACCGCGTACTGTGTGGCGTGAAGTCTCCCTCCATGGAGATGATTTTTGTGGTGGACTTCCCTTTAGCCGCTGTTTTGAAATTGAATAGCCATCAGAGTACTAAATGAATTTGTTTTTTATGATTATAATAGGTAGTCAGAAATAAATCTACAGCGAAGTAGCGACTGAAGGGCTTTTCGGTTTCTCAACAAATATTTCTGGTGTGAAAGCCAACTTTTCATTTGCCGCGACACGTAAGGCATATTAGTGCGCAGAAAGTATGGTGGCAACTGCTGCACACGATGCGTTAGTCTCAAGAACCAACTTTTGAGAACTTAACTTTAACACACGAATAACTGGGGTGAATAAGGACAACGTGTGTCTGAACGAAGAAGTCTATTCTGACATTTAACCCAAATTATTTGGGGGGAATCACAGTGATCAGTTAGTGCAAATGACATTGCTTCGGCTCTATCAAACTAAACGTCGGTTGTGAGCACAAAGATATCTTTTGCGACACCTTATTTATCAGTAGTCACGATTTTAACTGATTTCTTAGTTGTGGCAACTAATTCTTGGATGTACAAATCCATTCTTTTCCGCTCAGCTCAGCCAGAGCCAGTCTAGGCGATTTGCCATTTTGCGTTTCTTTTCTAATTAATTGATCATAGAAGTGGTCAGTTTGACGACAAATTAATGACAAAAAATGATCTCTAAATAATGACCCGAAACAAGTCGATTTGCCATTATTATCCGTTTGTTTTGTAATTAATTCGTCATAGAAGTGGTCAGTTTGACGTCAAATTAAGGACAACAAATGATGTCTAATTAACGACCCAAAACTCAAGCGGAATGAAAAGAAACTTGTCGACAACATCGACTTATCATCCACACGAATACGTTTATCTTGTCATTTATTCGGTCGTTTGTTTGATTTTGTTGAGTGATTGTTTCGTCATACAACAAATTAAAAATATATGACAAAACTACGCTCGGAGACTAAAAAGTAGAAGAACAGCAGTCCCTAATCCTCGTCTGACTCAGAATTTAGTAAACTTCCCGCATGGAAATGTATGGCAATATAAGTGATCGCTGTGTTATCAGGTAGACGACATTTCATATTTTATTCACAAAATGAAGACACTTTGATAATAAAATTGGAAGACGAACTAGTCACAAACGGTTTATTAAACCAAATTTGTTACTATTTATTCACGATTAAATTATTTCGTCACCAATAGATGATTATGAAAACCACAATTTTGTAAACTGTCCCCACACAAGATTGACAGCAAACTGATGTCAAACCGGGAAAGTTTGACAATTTTTGTCATCAGGATGCCCCGGGTCGCCCAGCACAACGCTTTAGGTAGTCGTCAGTACGTGTTTCCTTCCCTACCAGACCCTACGCGGAGAATAGAATGTCTTTCTATAATACGTATTGTATTTACCTTTAAAAAACTTATTCTTTGAGAGCCCTGCTAGAAATATGTACCCCACTCGAGTGTCTCTATGGCGGAGGATGCGCACCTAGTCAGCTGGCACAGCACACCGTCATTAGCTATCCTGCTCTTAATTGGAACAGGAAGCGTTCTGCGTTTCACCAATGTTGATTACGTCGAGGGCAATTCGAACTGTACAATGTGCGGGCTGCTCGCAATAGGGTACAATTTAAGTGCTGCCAGCAAGTCTATTTCTAGGAAAGGTAATTACCTTCAAAAAAAGGAAAGAAAAATAAATACGTAATTAAAAGTAAGACTTGATTCTACATCTTTAAAAAAGTATACTTTTCCGCATTCCCGCCATTTTCCTCTCTCAAACCTTTTGGGCTGAGCGATTAGCGAAGCCCATCACTACACTGACCGTGAAAGGTTAATTCTGTTTGTTTGTCTGTCTGTTTGTCTGTCCGCACGATAACTCGAGAAAGAATTGAGATAGCGATCTTGGAATTTCGGGGTCATTTGGTATCATTAAAAGACAGATCGAGTTCAAAGATAAACATTGTAGCTCAAAAATTGATTTTACAAAAAAACTAAGACCACAGGTCGCAAAATTAATTTACTATTTTAAATACTACTTTAAATGGGCTCCTAAGTAGAAGTCTGTGGACGAAAATTTCGTCCGTTTTGCCCTATATAGCACCGGTTCGGTGCTATGGGGCATTTCTTGACGAAAAGAACGTGAAAAAGCCAAAATGGTCTATTAAATCGTAAAAAAAGGCTTCATGTCACGGAATTGTTAAGGGAGTAATACTCAAACCCCACATTAAGGGTCGAACCACATGCTCTTTTGGGTTTAAGGGTCCCTAGATCACCTAGTATCACTAAAACGTTGATTTTTACCTAACAATCTGTCAAAATTTGAACTTTTAATGAAAACCTTTATCGAACAGCAGAAGTTTCATGTCCCTAATTTTAGAGTGATAATTTCCCGACAAATGCTGTCAGTATGTCAAATTTTGGTGCCGGAAGGCCCTATTCCCGTATACCCTCCCATTAACTCGTATCGGGTGTCAGCGCCGCAGGTCTTGCTATGTGTACGCCAGGCGCGTTGCAGCGTAACAGTTTTTCGTGAGATATCGCGAAGCCTGTTACGCGAGACGTGTTCTGGCGCACGTATAGCCACAATATAGTTTTACTTCGCTGTCCTCTAATGAGCAAGTCTGTAATAAATTTACAGAAGTTTATAATGTATGAATATTAAACGTCAAATATCTATCTCAGGTGCGGCCGCACAGTGTAGAGCTAAAATTGTCCTTGGCGTAACCAACATGACTGGAACGCACAACGCTTCCTGTTCTAATTAAGGGCAGGATACGTAATGACAGAGTGCTGTCTCAGCTGAGTGAGTACGTGCACGTCCTCCGCTGTAGAGTCACTCGATTGGAAGTGAATTCTACTATCGGGGCTTCTGAAAATTGGTGCTGTAAAGGTAACTACTTGCAGAGTAGAAATTCACTCTGCATAACATTCAACGGGGTCGCTAGCTTCAACAAAACGTTGAAAGTTGTTGATACAAAAGAAAAGCAGCCTGTAGAATTCTTTTTGGTTCTGGAATTGATTTTTAAGGTTCAGAGGTATGTTTGCACAATACCTCCACCGTTAAGGGGGCAGACCTGTGAAATGTAAGGGTTTGCAAGACCAGTCACTACATAAAAACGACACGCCGCATCGATTTAGGATTAAAGGTGTTTTAAGAGTATAGATGGACGCTAATTTTGCCGTTGGCGCCAGTACGCGGAAACATGCCAATCTTTGCCTTCAGCTAACAGTTATTCTCGGTGTGCACGATTGTAGCGTAACCGACGGGTCAAAAAAATTGCTAGTTACTCTTAAAAGATACCGCTAGTGGGTGACCTGGTGGGTTTTGCAAACTTCGAAATGGGAGTAATCGAAAAAAAACAACAACATAAACACAATGGACATAACAAATTTTCAATTTTTTTTCGTATTTTAGCGGTATGATTTTTTTCGAGTACTCGCATTTCCAAATTTGAAGAAAACAAAAAACAGTTAGTTCAACCACTAGCGGCATCTTTTTAGAGTAAGTAGCAATTTTGTTGACAGTCGCAGACCAATCCGTTGCAACACAATCGTGCACACCGAAAGGGACTGCGTCGTCCAGTTGGAGCCGAAGATGGATATGTTTCTTGAGAGTGCGCGCACCGGCGCCAACGGCAAAATTAGCGTCCATCTATGCTTTTAATACACATTTAATCCTAAATTGATGCGGTGTGTAGTTATTTGTGTGTGGTGACTATTTTCCCAAACCACTCAATTCACAGGTCTGCCCTCTTAAAAAATCTAAATCAAGGATGTATCTTGAAAGCAGATGATACAAGTTTCAGAACAGGTCTGTTTTCCAAATTTCTCTCAGTTGTCATTTGTTTCTGTTTGCATGTTACCGACAATTTTGTAAATCGGCGTACGAGAGGCGTTGAGGAGACAGGGCGTGGGCAGGGCGGCCGGCGTCGGTGGGCTAGTATTGTTGTACAGCGACAGGGGGACGGGGAGCCTGGTATTGTTAGGCAGGGTAATGGGTAGGGTCTGAAGCGACACCCAGCGAGGCAGCCACTCACTGATTCCTCTAGCGCCAAAGAAATTGTTTTCTGGTCTGCGCTTGGTTCTCTGTCCTTACCGAGAGTGAAAGCTAGCTGGCACCTTAATGTTACATATATATTCTTTATATTTAGTGAAAGGGTTTTTAAGGTATCATCTGCTAAATAAATCGATCTTGAAATCAGATATGTGTATTTCATTCTTTTACAAGAACATATGCGGCGCAGGCCGAGATACAGAAGAAAGGTTTTAATAACAATCGTATGTTGCACTGCATGTCAACATTATTAGCCAGGGCAAATATAAAACAGGTTTAAAGAAAACAGAGTTAACAGTAATAAACAATAACATAGCACAGCAGGGCAGCTTAAGACCTCAGTGGTCTTGGAGACACGCCGTTCATCCAGGATGGCGGGCATGTCTGATGGGATCGGTGACGGTGTTGACGATGAGCTTTCTCAGTTCCGATGTCAGAACCGGGCTGAGGGATGTTGGTAGGAAGGGCCGTCGTGGTGAGCCCGAGACCGGAGACGAAAAGATAGGTGGTCTCATTGGGCATATTCTCGAAGATGCTGCGTGTTTGCCCCCGCAGAGGGCACACAGCCTCTTCGATCTGTCCGGGCACACTCGGGAAAGGTGTGCTCCAGCGCAGAGGCGGCACCGAGGGGGTGAGGTGCAATCAGGTGACCGATGCTTCGTCCACTCCATACATCTGAAGCATTGGTCGATGTTGTGGTGACTTCTCCTGGCGGTGACTTTGGGTGGCGTCTTGGCTTCGGGAGCCGCCGCCACCGGCCGTTCCCCCGCTGTAGTCTGGGTGCCAATAGAATGCTTTGGCAGGGCGGCCGGCTGGATGACGGTGCCGGGGCCCAGCCGCGGCTCGCCCTCCGAGAGGTCCTGCTGTAGGAGCTTGATTTCAACTTGCCTCTCGCGTTCGTAGTCGGCAGCGACAGGCCCGATGTAGTCTTGCACCCGGAGATGAATGCCAAGGACTGTGATGCTGTCTGGACGGCACACAGGTGCGCCTTTGACCTCCATGAGGAGGCTTCGGGTATCCCCCGAGGCTAGTTTGTAGAGCATGGAGTCCTCCCAGGTGTTGGTGATGCTCGCTTCCTCCCAGGCTTCCACCGAGAGCCCGTGAGCTCTGATGGCAGCGCAGATGTTTTGATCCTCGATGAATTCGGGGATGGAGGAGACTACCACCAGGCGGCTTTGGTCTCCTCTAGTTGGGTTATAGCTGTGGATCAGTGAGGCATCGTAGGGGATCTCCTTCTTGATGTCCTTGGCAATGCGTTCGAGAATTAGGTAGGCGTCCTTGGAGTTGGCAGTTTGGACCGACTCTTCCTCTAAGACGCAGAACCACTTCTCATCCTTGGTCCAGTAGTCGATGCACCACAGGTCGTCGTTTCCAAGGGCCTCCCCGAAGTCGCCGTCTTCAGTGACGACGACAAGTTGGTAGTCCTGGGAGGCTTGGGCCGCAGTCTCTCGCCGAACCGGTCGGGGGGAGTCCATGGCTTCAGGTCGCTTCTCGAAGATCTTGTAGTGGCAGATGAGGAACTTCTCCCCAGGTGGGGTCTCCCACGCGTTCGGGTTCCAGAGCAGCACCAGGTAGGTGTGAGGCTCGGCACCTGCGGTGCCAGCCGTGAACTTCCCTGGGCTTGCCGCCGCTTTGGATTTCCCGCCCACAGGTGGAGTGTGGGATCACGATAGGGTCAGTGCACCACACTGGTGCTGCGGCTCAACTTAACGACCGCGCTCTGGATCACTACCGGATGGCTGCGGGGCACGGTATAATCTTGCGCCCCGACTTACAGCTCAACGCTTTATGCGGGAGACGGCCTTTCTCAGGGGCGCGCCCACCGGCCGACCTGCTGCCCAGTCGAAGTGAGCTAGAGAGTGCGTCCCACCACTCTCCACAAGTCGGCGTTGCCACCCCTCCAAGTCCAAAGGCGTAGGTACTAAGGCAGAACCGCGGTGTTATGCACAGTGCAGTTCTCCTTTTCCCGCCTAAGGACCGGAGAGGCAGATGGTAGAGAAGTCCTGGAGCCGGGTGTTGGGGTCCTGGTCTTCGATCACACTTTGATCTTAGCCAAAAGGCCGAGAAGCGATCAACAATCATACACTCGTCAACAAAATGAGCGGTCGATTTTTTTTTTTTGCTCTGAGATTCAAAGAACTTGCGATGCAGGTAGGGAAACCTCGTAGAGCATTTGCTTTGCCCTTCCCTTGCTTCTTTGCTTTCTCGTGGACTTCAAAACATCTTCTGTGCTTGTCGACGCCAAAATGAATCCAAATCTTGTTCGCCCCAATTTCACGGAGCTCGAAATAATAAGAGACTGCCAAAACGAGAAAATCCGAGTCGACAGTTCTTATTACCATGTATTCAGCCATTACGTGCTGCATCTGCTGCGTGGAGAATAAGGCGAGTGACAGCCCCTTCCAATTGGCAGGGAAGTCCACTGAATTCCAGTAGACTGTGATACAGCAAACTTACTTTCGATGTTAGTTACAACGAGTATTTCTGGAGACAAGGACAGTGAATACTCTGCAAGCAGATCGCAAAGGCCAGATTTATTTTCGTCGTTTTGTAGAAACCTTTTCCGATTTTGGGGACTAAAGGTATTACGCAAAACTTGCCTTTTTGTGCCACTGCTTCTCCTTTTGTTTCTTGTGGCCCTCTTCAGAATAGACGGCGAGTCTTGGCCCCAGGCTAAATCAAGTTGGTGTTTCCGGAGGCCTGCTGACTAGCCCATCAGGTTTGGACGGATTTCCTTGTGCCACTACTCGGAAAATTTTGCCGATTTCCGAAGAGGCCACACGTGGGAAATGATGCTAGCGTCGAAAACAAGACAATCGCGTGTTTCGTGTGCGTCTGCAGCATGAAAAACTTCATCAATCATTAAAGAGAGACTGTCGTTCTTGCTCTCAGGCAGTCTCAAATCCCTGCCCTTGCTGACGGGGCGGGCAAACTTGGTTCTCGTACGAAAACAAACCAAACACATTTAGATCTAGTTGACGACGCTCACTCATAATATACAGCTGCAGGAAAAGCTGTACATCGATCTGGAGACTCTTGATTTGTTTAGAATTCCCTTGAATGTTTTTTCAATTTGATGTTAACACCTTGCGGTTGTTTTTCTTCAATGGGTCAAATAGGGAGCGTGTTTTTGTGATGAGTCTCTCACTAACAAAATAAGAGAATGCGGCAACACCTTCCGATTCCACCATTGTTACGGCTTTTACGGCGTCAGGCCCAAGAACGTCTCTTGTGCGAATATTAATAAGCTCTAATCCTGTTTCAAGGAAAGGATTCCCCGCTCGAGAAAATTTTGTATCAACAAGTCCACGTTTTGTTTAAAAGAAGTCTGAAAAAAACTACAACGAAATTGTTAATTTATTTTTGCGCTGCCGTCTTAACTAGAGAAACTGCAACGACTGCAACTGTACCTGCAAGGACGCGTACTGGTCATGGCGTGTGTTTAACTTTAAGCAAAGCTTCAGCACCTACTTCTGATTCGATGCCAGCCTGCGCAGCTATCTCAGCCCACCCACACTCGTCCATCAGAGATCCAAGCAGACGGAAAAATGCTTGCTTGATGTGAAGCCCCCCCCCCCATCAAAAGCACCATATTGTCCTCACCGTAGGTCTGAGGCCAATTCCACTGTATTTATTTCTCCCAGGGCGTAGAGAGGCTGGTCCATGCACATGACAGGTTTCTGGACGGCATTTACTATACTAGTTGTCATTGTCACTGTGGTGAAACCGTGTTTAACCTTAGAGGGCGTTTCAGACACCTCGTGAAATAGGGGAAGGAGTGTGTTTAAAATCGGCTGTGTGTTACTTTCACACGAAGTGTACGTTGCGTGGAATGCCTCCCACGAGAAGTCGAGTCCGTATTCACCACCTAGCACTACATCTCTTACGTGGTTCAACCAGCGGTTTTCCCTCCCGTCCCATCTTTTCGAGACTTCAGGATGACGCTCGGCACAACCGCGTAATTCTCCGGCAGGTTTAGAAGGTTAGTCAGGGTTTGGGGGACGCCCGCTAACGATGTCTGGAACGCGCGAGGCTCTCCAGGACACTGGTTTGTTGGGATCCTGAAGACGGAGATGCCCGTACCGTGGAATGAACCTTGTGCAGTGGAGCAAGACGAGTTGTGGTTCACGTGTTGTTTAGGGGCGGCGATGGTGAAGAGTCCACGGCGGAGCTCAGGTGGGCACATGAAACCTTGCTCTTCTGCTCGCTTCACGGTAAGATGGCACAGGGATGAAGTAATTTCGTACACTCTGCGGGCTGAGATGCCCAGGCCCAGGGCATGCAGTTCTGTGATAGCTTCTTTGCTCCGGACCTTACGTACGTCGATAGACACAGATATACAGGCAGGGCTGTTTCTCTCTCACGCAAATGTACTACTGCACTTCCTCTATGGATTCATATGAAGTGTCCCCGCTGTCCCCAATAAGAGGAGGAGGGAGAGGATGGGAGCGGTATCCTGCTCGTCTCGTCCCTTCTCTCCTCGCCCGGCAACAGTCGCCTGCAGCGCACCTGGCGGCTCTTCTGGAACGTGCCGTCATTCTAGTGGCCCGCTCAGATAGCCCAGAGAACGCCAATATCAGGGCTTGAAGACGTTTCCACTAACTCTTCGAATAACCGTTTAGGAATTATTTCGAGAGAGTGGTGCCTACAAGCCAGATAAATGACTCTCCCGCCGAGCCCCTCCTCAATATGCCTGACTGTGACTGCCCCACTGTGGCAGCCAGTGTTTGAGGCTGTTGTGTCAGAGCAAACAAACCTTACTTTGTCGCCAATGCCATAGGTTTATACCTGGTGGAGCACCTCTGGCGATGTCCTTTCCAGTGCCTCCTGGCAAAACACTCGAGCTCAACAGTTGAGATATACCTTTACCTAGAATAATAAAAATTATTTCGGCATAAGGGACGTAGGTCATGCGTCCGAGTGTGAGTGTTCCGGGTGAGTCTTCCCTATCCCCTCTACCCGAGATTCGGGACGGGAAAGCACGGGGCGGCGGCGGCACGGCCGCCACCACAGGCCGGGACAGGGCCAGTCACCCGCAACATTATGGCACGCGCAAAGATGCACCTGCAACCGGGTGTCCTGGAGAGAACAGGGCAGTGTTGCGGGTCTGCCTACTCTCGGGGCCATGGTGTCAGTGGCGCCTTACGGCCAGAGTGAGTAGGCAGACCTGCAACACTGCCCTGTGCTCTTCAGGACGCCCGGTCGGTTCATATCTTACCTGTGACTAAAACAGGCTGGCGTTCCACAATTTCACCCTTCCCATAAAGGGGTTGGAGTTTCTTGCCATCCATGTAGACATTAAGTGGTCCAGAAGGGTTGAAAGCCTTGCGAATAGCCGTTGCCTGCTTGTTGCGCGTAGCTACCTGCAAACGGAAGAGGGAGCTCATGCTTACGCTCAAAGTGCTGATGTCGATATTAGCAAGCTTACACATTGACGCCACTGTCCGGAATGCAGTGGAAGTGCTTATCTTTGCTCTGTCCAAATTGAACGCCAGTCGCTCCAGATCTTCTTGAGAGGGGGCATTTTGTAAAAGCAGTCCTACGTCTGCATTCTTAGCAGTGGCCTGAATTTCCGGAGTGTAGTCAGCATCATACTCTGCACTGTCCTCCAGTTCCGGTTCCGAATCAGGCTCTGATCGGAACAAAACATACGTTCCTTTGATTAGCTTAAATAATGTTCAAAGTATAGATAAAACCGTGCATATTAAAATCATTTCTGGTAAAACGTACCAATTATACGGCAGTTACGTCTTTTACCGCGATTAACCACGAGATTGGGTTACACTGTAAAAACATTGCGAAGCTACCAACCAGCCCGTAATCTTTTTATCAGTGTAACCACACTTCGGCATCGAACATCGAACTTGAGTCCGACGGGAATCAGGGCAGGGCGAGGGTGGAGAACCTGCGAGCCGCAAGCCGTAGCCGGTGTCTAGTGGGTCGACTTCGTACTGGCGACCGGAGTAAATTGCGGACACAACGGCGAAAAGAGGATTGCGCGGTACGCTTTAATAGTCAAAATACACTGTCAAAATTCCTTTCCTTCACAAAAATAAAAAATGTCTTCTTTGTTATGGTAGACACCAACAAAAAAAGATTCTGTGGTCTGAAATTTTGAAAGTGTAATAATAACTGTTTGCGATACTGTAAAAATATATACGTATCTTTGACGCCATTACGGACCATGACCAGCATAGTACAAAAAAATCATCAGCTTTACAAGTCTGTGGCATTCCATAGAATGTCACAGGCATGTCACAAATACATCCCAAAAATTATTTTTGTTGTACCATCAGTATTTGAGCTGATAGCTGACTTACGTCACTTTGCTAGACCAGTCTCTTCAATAGGAGAGGCGCAAGTCAAGACTTACGTCTCCCCCCTACAGTTTTTGTTGCTCTAGCGCAACAAACTTCTCTGGCGCTTCTCGCGGCCACAGTAGCCACTATCATGACCTACTCACCTGGGTCGGACCGCACGGTAAAAAGAACATCTTGGAATTCAAGTAGATTCCTTGAAAACTGTCTTGAAAACCAAGTAGATCGCTTGAAATCCAAGATATCATTTTTAATGTGCGACCCGATGCTAGACCATGTGGCTAAACACAAAAGTCATACCTCCGGACTCGCGCTTCCCCTACAAGGAGTACCAAAGTACCCCCTGGGGCTGTTGCTCCTGAGCAACAAACCAATAGGGGGGTTTCCTTTGTGTGACAAGTATCACACTTTGCATTACAGTGTACTATATGTTCTTTTAAACGCAACGTCTGAGAATTTTAGCACACTAACTAGTAACGCTTAGCCACTACGGGCTGCTGGCTGCTGCACGTTCTTGTATTCCTATGTAATTCATTCGTCCTTACCCAGGCTAACCGGGTCCATGTTATACCGGAACAGTGAAAAGATCGGTAGGTGGCCTGCTGCGTGGCGCCATGGTCTTCCATTCAGTTTCGTGGAGGACTAGTACCCTGTTGGCAATCACCTTGCTGTTTTCAAGGAATGTCTTTGCGAGAAAGGCCACCGGAAAGGTATGATGAAGAGTTCGAAAGTCAAATAAGTCTTTTTAAATTGGTAGCTGAATGGCTTGCTAATTCTCTATTAGTTGCGGGATGGACATGTCAGTCCTTCAGTCCTGGAGGTTGAAAGAACTGAGCTAAAAATTTCATGTGCAGCAGAACGGGAGGGATTTACTGTAGCAGGTAGCAGACACTAACTTTAGGTTTAAGGGGGTCAGTTCGAAAAATTTGCTGAATTTGGATTATTTTTAACCCTCGATGCACTGCACGCCAGACATTTCAGACATCAGGATAGTTTTCCCTCTCTTGAATTGTGTCTTTCTGAACAAAACGTTTGATAGTTTGCTTCCAGAAAAGTCTTTAAAACGTGCCCAAAAACATGTACTTTATGTATGATCCTCTGTGGACCCTCGAAAGGATAGCTTAAATGGAGTACGTACTGCAGCGCCCGTGAGTGCTTGGCACGCTCTGCAGGCTCTACTATGAGGCCGATTGCAGAAAATTTGGTGTATCGACGGAATCAGAGAGGTGTGAGGATGGGCTAGTTGACGACAGAGAATTGAAAGGACTAACCGGAGTGGGGCCTAGTGGGGCCTAAATCGTCGGCGTCCGCTGTCCATCCACTGCAGGAGGTGGCTACCTGCGCGACGGGGCCACTGGGTCGGGCGGGCGAGAGGAGGGGCCGGCCGGCCGCGCAGGAGATAACCGGAACCGGCCGGCTAGTGTGATCGTTGGGCGGGTCCAAATTACTGTACCAGCTTCTGCAGCGGATGCGGACAGTGGCCACACCCCGGTTAGTTTTTTCAATTTTGTCGTCAACTAGCCCATCCTCACACCTTTCCGATTCCGTCGATACCAAATTTTCTGCAATCAGCCTCATAGTAGGGCCTGCAGAGCGTGCCAAAACATTTTGAGGAGGGGGGTCACGGGCGCTGCAGCACGTTCTCCATTTAAGCTATCCTTTCTAGATGGACCCGCCTACCATTAGTTTCTCCTTGCCTTCCGACATTTAACGTCGCTCTTCCCGGTTCCGCCGGTGCGGCTCTACGTTCCCCCCTCCACCCAGTCCCAGTGCGGTGCCTGGTTCACTGGAACCCGCTGATGTCCGGTCCCGAGGTGCGCGTCAAAAGTGGGACCGCATTACAGCTCTAGATTAAGGTGACCTGCCCCTTTATTACACTCTGATTTACAGTGTTGTTTTTGTTACTCTCATCTGCAGTCTGCGACTCGATACACCTTCGATTTCGTTTACCTACAACCGTGTTCAACGATCCCAGAAGCTGCCTTGAAGTACATCAACTACACTCGAGAAATGTCGTCTGACGGCTCAACGTCTATTAGCGGTGTGGGAGACTTGGCTCGGCCAGCTCAGCGACTAATTGAAGTAAGATCCCATCTCGTATGGCTGTCGCGAAGCCGAGTGGTACTTAGCACGCTGTAAATTTTCAGGTGAAAGGGCCTCAGCTTTTTTCTTGAAACTAAACTGACGAAGAATCCGATTGCCTTGTGGAACTTAGTACTGGTCTTCGGAAGACGGTACATATCATTAGTGCGCGAGGGAAAGCGTAGTTTTGATCGCAGAACTACGCGGCAAAGACCACGTCATTGGAAAATCACTCAGGAATGCGATGGGCTGCAGGCTGACATCGAAAGATAAAAATTTTACGAGCCTTTCGGTTTTCCGGTTAGAAAAGCGGGTATTCGGCTCTTTAAAGCTTCTTCTCCAGGGCGCCCTTCTCTCATGCTGACAAGGGAGCTTAGGCAAGTGTAAATTCCCTATCTTGCCCGAGGGGTGTGGAACTGGACACAATATGTGTACATCGGGAAAAACAATCAGAAACAATCATGAAACAATCACACTCAATCATAAAAAATCGCACACAATCCGAAACAATCACACACAATCACGAAACAATCACACACAATCACGAAACAATCACACACAATCACGAAACAATCACACACAATCAGGTCACAATCTGACACAATGTTGCAAAATATATCACAATATTTATTCAACCATCTGAAACAATCAGAAACAATCACACACAATCATACACAATCTGAAACAATCACACACAATCCACACAATCACACACAATCTAAAACAATCACACACAATCATACACAATCTGAAACAATCACACACAATCCACACAATCACACCCAATCTAAAACAATCACACCCAATCTAAAACAATCACACCCAATCTAAAACAATCACACCCAATCTAAAACAATCACACACAATCATGACACAATTTTTAAAATTATGTCCCAATATTGACCCAACAATCTGAAACAATCAGAGACAATAATCGACACAATC